TTTCTGTGTATTCTGGACAGGGAAGAGTACCGGGACCTGGATCCCTGACAGCGTCATCCTTGCACAGCAGATGTGTTACCCTGCAGGGGTGAGGCGCATTGCGTACCATCAAAAACATACCTCTAGCCCTGGGCCGCTGCGAGACAACACAACGTCTTCCTGCAGTCAGCCGAATAGCCCAAAACAAGTAAGCAGGGAAGTCAGGAGCGGCACCCGAATCAATCAGAGAGAAGAGCTGAAAGGACTAATGCCGGAAAGACGACCTGCCAAGCAAACCGCCACCACCTCGAGGGTTTAACAGTCTGAATGTGGGCACATTTGGCACAACGTGGTAGCCAACCACCAATTTCTATGTTGCAATTAGTTACTACGTGCACAACACAAGTACCAACGGCCTTGCTGAACTGGATTAGGGTCTAGACACGAATCAGATGCAGTGACTAATAGGGAGCCAGAAGAAGGGCAGTACGACTTGAGATGACCCGAGCACCCGAAATGGGCTGACATGTAGGTAGCTTGGTTGGGTGTAAGCTACAAAGTTGCATCGGTCACGACCCCCATCTCACTCCGCGATAATAATGCATATATTCATTAGCTGAGGTGCCAGCAATGATGACAAGGGACCCGTCAGAGTCTGGACGAATCTCGCTTCGGCTGCTCAAATGATACTGTAGCATGAGAACACCAAGTGCATGCGCAGGCATCACGTAGTTGTCACTGCACTCATTCATACGCTTTGTACCAATCACGATGCTTTTCACAAACTCAGATTGGGATCCCGCTGCCCCTCCGGCGGTACTAGTCATTCACGCCAAGACGCAGAAGCAGCGTCGATATATTATTCCATCTGATGACGGACTACATCTGTCTGTATCAGCAAGGAACAGACTATCGTCGACTCCGCCCGAGTCTTCTGCTCGGAGTCTAGTGGTGGTGGCGCCCATGTGGTGGGGTTTGTGGGGAGGGCCATTGCAAATATGTGTTTATGGATGCAGCTAAGATCGATCTTCGGCCTCTCACAGGGGTTTATACGTGGTATGGTATAGTTCCGACGGGGACTACCGAGATCGAGTTGTGCAATAACGGCGTCGGCCACAATACGCTCGAAGACAGTTGCCTGCCTACACATGTGGCATCCGAGGGTTCCGCTCCCCATTCCGCTACAGGGTATATTGGGAAATTGGAAGCCTCTGTGGTACTCTACACGTAGTATGATTCGACAGCTGCTGTATGTTGATCGATGGCGCCCTGGCGTGTGGCTAGGAACATGCCTGACAGGACCGTCTATTCCGCTCTACCTAATTAACCTCGTAGCCAATCTAGCCAAGCGACTATCCGAGCAGTCAACCAAGGATCGTCATGAATCTCATCTCGGCGTGTGTTATTGATAGGACGACAACTTGCTACTTGGGTACCTGAGGATGGCGCCTGCATAACGCCAAAATGTCGACGACCCCAGAGAGACCCATGACAGATGGATCGCATCCAGAAGCGTCGTGTTGAGGCCAGAGCTAGGTAGACCAGACCTTGTTGTCCAGAAAAACAAGATTGCGGTAAGAATTCGAGCGAGATGTCGAGCCTCTCGAAGTCTATATAAGGAGGTCAACCTCGCCGTCAACAGTCAACAATTCCTCTTGCTCTCCATCCCACAACAGCAATCCCAGAAGCCCATTCACCTTCACTACTCCCACAATCTTCAAACGTTTTTTTGTTCCCCAACAAAACAAACCCCCAAACCTTCAAAATGCAGACCTCCTTCGTCGCTATCCTCGGCTTCCTCGCCGCCGCTGTCACTGCCACTCCCACCTACGGTACCGGAAGCGGTGGCAACTACAAGGCCTGCGGTGGCCAGGGTCTCTACAGCGTCGCTCAGTGCTGCGCTACCGATGTCCTCGGCGTGGCTGACCTCAACTGCGGTTCTCGTACGTCTCTCCTTTCCAATCTCGAGTTTACCACACAGATGGCTAACAAGTTTCACACAGCCTCCGCTGTCCCCAAGAGCGTCGGCAGCTTCCGCGACATCTGCGCCAAGGGTGGCCAGCGTGCCCGCTGCTGCGTCCTGCCCATCGTAAGTATTCCCTCAGTCTTGTCTGCTTTCTTCTCAACTTACTAACAAAACTTTCAACAGCTCGGCCAGGGTGTTCTCTGCCAGACCCCCACCGGTCTCGGTGAGCAGTAAATATCTGGTCTTCCATCAGACAACATAGGGGCACGGGTGTAGATACTGGCACATTCGGGTCTTGACAAGTACATAATGGAGGCACTGTTGTTACTCTAATCGGGAGCGAGGCAATGATAGTGTTGGGATTGGGCTTCACTGGCGATGCTGTCTTGGGACATAGGGCTGCAGTCCCTATCCGTTCTTTAGTCAATGCTCCGGACGCATGCTGTCATTACATAATTTGTTTGAGAACTTCACTTTGATAGTTCTTCAATTTAAACCTCTCCAAGAAAAAAACCTTGCTCCAGAATCCCATTTGTGATCCATTCTCCATACAAGATTAGTTGGATTCCTTTCGGCCAACTATTCATTACATTCTTCAAGCCAATAGGCAAAACTTCGCCCCTTTCAGCACTCGATGTTTTTATTTCTGTCCCTTTACATACTTATCATGTTTGTGTCAAGGTTGTGGCCCAGCAACCAATTTTCGCTGATTACCAGAGTAATGATTTATCAACCGGTTAAGCAAGCTGAATGACACTGCTGTCTGGAAGGATCCAGCCCCATAGAGGCTGAGACACAATAGATCTGCATGGATAATGAGAAAAGGTCGAGACGCCAAAATACATGGTCATTCATATGCGTGGGTTTGCAATGTTACCTGTCATGAATTACGCTGTCAATAGTTTGAGCAATACGTCACATTTCAATTTCCATTACTCACACCTAGCTCGCAGAACGTCCCAGTTTAAAAAATCCGATATATGCTCTAGAACGTGACATGTCAGATATCATAAGACAGCTGATGGCGTTCATGCACCACCAACAAGCGCCTTATGTCTCAGGGAGGGAACTGAGCTAGCTAGCTCTTGTGCGTGAGCCCTACATGTAGCATCGCAGGAGTTTCCACGTGTTCCCGGTCGTCCGCCAGATCGTGGGTGACGAAGCAGACGGACGATGGAGCCATGCAATGCGCTGCACTGCACCTTTGTCAGGTCTGGTCTGTGCTGCAGCCACATCTCTCTTGTACACGCGATCCTCCGGGACCTGCTTGCGTATGCGTAGGCCATGGCACGCACCATGCATATGCAACCACCTGGGCCCCCCCCTATCACATCTCGTGAGATGTTTCATCCAGATGTACTGTGACTAATGCTTTTCAGCTCTGTGCCTTAGCTGAACAATAACTTGCCCCTCTGTAACACGGAAACAGTTGCTCCTCGATCTACTACTTAAAGCTGCCATGAAGTAGCAAATACAATCCCCTAGACACGTATTCGGACACTATGTAAGGGAATCTTGACATACGATGTTTGACCATGCTTTGAATATGATCTGGGCATCTCAAGGTACTAGGACCGAAGGCTAACGGGAAACTGAGCAACCAATAACATCAGGGCCTCACCCCAAATACCACTACAGTCCACCAGTAACCAGGAGGGGTTTACAAAAGCTCTTGTGTCAAGATTTTCCTGTTATTCCATTCAACAACTTGTTATAACCAAGGATAAACTAGGTAGTGTCAAGTCGCAACCACACAGAGGCTTCACGACAGTCTTTATATCGGGTCCAGAGTGGCCCCTATTCCCCTGCGTGGTGGGAACAGGACGTGCGCAGTTACCTAACGATAATACTCAACGGTCTCCATTTCGCGATCCTTCAACCCGTTCACAACTCACAACTGTCAGATCATGCTAGGGAACATACCATGTTTGTATTCACTAGCCGTTTTTGTTAAACCTTTCAACCGGCATGAACCTCAAACAAGCGCCAGCCATGACTCGCTACCTTAATAAGATAGACATATCTCTTGCCACTTTCGGACGCATGGTGCAAAGCTTGGATATACTCTTTCAAGCAACTCCCCTGAAACTCTTGGTTGACTGTAAGAGCGAGCATGCCCAAAAGGGACTATGGTTGCGTTTCCAAAACTGGCAGCAAACCCCCTCTTTGGAACCTGCAGTCCACATGAATAAGGACACAACATGCAAAAAAAGCAAACATTGATACCCAATAATGGGACCCTCAAATGTACTACTATCGCAGCCAAAACCACCGCCCTCTAATTCATATATTTGCGTGGTTACATTGATCTCGATGCAGGGGTTGCAATATCTGGTAGAGATCTCGATTCCGTCCCAGCGACTTGGTGTTGGTTCGAATTGGTGGTGTACCATATATCCAAAGTCGTCGATCGTTGCCCCGAAAACAGCATAGAGGACATGGATGGGGTTGACGGCTCGTCCCGCTCGTACTACCCCAACACGTATTGGGCCATCAACCCGCCGTCGCCCGAGTGTGGCTTAGTGGACTAATAGCAAGCAGGCGCTATTAGTTGCATTGGGGTTAGCCATGTGTTTTCTTGAGCCGCATGCATACCATACTTACATATACCTAAGTAGATGCACTTAATTGACGATCTATTAGTAGTACGCAGTTCTAATGCACATGTGTGCTGCGCGTGGCTGCTGATAAATTGCATGTATGTATGCGCACTGCCGACTCTGTGTGGATATGATCGGCTAAAGCCAAATGCGATGCCGAAGCTACTGTAGTTGACCTCATGGGGGCTCGCAGCATGGGCAGCGGCGCCCTAGACACCTGAGGAATGCAAACAATTACTTCGATAAGCTGGTTTCGCATTAGATTTTCTATATCAATTACCTTTATTCCTCTTCGAATCTTACAAGTAGTAGCAAGAAACTTCCAAGCCTGTACAAAATCAATCGAAAAAATCTACTGATATATAAAACCAGACTATCCCATACTAAAAACACCAAATGCAAATAGGCAATCATACAGCAGCAGCAAATATCAAAGCGAAAAGAAAAAAGTGAGCTACCCCTTGGGGGATTCGAACCCCCGACCCCTCGCTATTCAGGACCTTGTTGCCGGAGGCGAGTGAGCTAAACCACTGCTCCAAAGGGGCCTTCTTGTTATCGTTCAGATTTTTATGGCATATGGTCCACAGAAGCTCTGTATATGTGGGGTAGGCTTGTATACGTCTATAACGCTGGGGACGCGTGTTGTGTTTGTTTGCTGTGGTCGAGGAGATTGGGTAAAGTAGGCAGGTACCCGGCGGTTAAGAGTGCCGAAGGAGTGTTTGTACAACACCGACTGCCTGGTACTTATCCGCCTAGGGACGCTAAGAAGGGCAGCTTCTATCGGAGACCGATGTTTTCAGCTTCGAGCCGCCTGGTGACGATGGGCCATGACGTAAGTCTAGGGGTTACGCGGCCAGATACTCGTCCAAAAGCATAACAGATCGCTGTTTTCGGAAGATCTTATAAGTGACTCGTCCAACTTCTGGGGATAAAATTGAGAGCAACCATAATAGCATTACGTTCTATTCTGTTCCCAGGCCTCTGCCTTTCGATCACCCAAGAAAATAAATATTAACTTACTTATATGCAGTCGAAATGTCGCCATTAGTAGGGGAAATACCGGAATTGGAATTACTAGGTACGTAAAGTATGTCCTAAGGGAAGTTGTCCAAAGTTGGCAGGGATGTTGGGGCTCGGAATCACCTATGTCCGTATACTCGAAGAGCAAACCGAGACGGATGACGTGATGGTTGATTTTTGGTACACGACATGTGATATTTTGTGCGTATTGTCGATGATAGCCGTGCTGTACACCATTATGGGATCTTCATGTCATCCTTGGGACCAGCTTGTGTGACAACTCTTGTGATATGTCTCTTCGATCTCGAAGCGGACAATAAGTAGATCCTGTTCGAGGACAGTAGCATGTAGGTAGATTCCAATAAGTCCAAATTGAATCCATGGGAATGGTGGTGGCCTCTGAGAATGTGTCCTCGCCAGACTACCGAGTCGGAATTAATGACCATCCGTTCGCTTATGGCAGTCGAAGCCAGTGGGCAGTCCTATGCTGTGTCTCCATGATGTCTAATGACAAGATAAGATTACTTTGATCGCGAGTCATCTATATCAACTGTAGAGATTAATGTTGGTGGGCTTCCTATGATGCGCTGGGGACTGATCCTTCATTATTTCTATATCCTAACCAATGTTCTATGGGGGTATACCGTATACATAAAAGCAGTGTAAAAAGCAAGGACTTTTTTGTAACCGTACCAAACCCATATCCATACAATCCTGCCTTTTACGCTTTTATCGATCGCTTTTATCGTCCCTTCCCCGGAAAATTCATAAGTGAAATGCCTGGCGAGTTTCGCCCGCTGGTGTCCATCGTCTCGGCATACAGCCGGTTGATGTCACGGAAACTTGTTGGCGCTGGTGATGGAGGTTCGGACTCGGGCTGAGGAGGGCCCATCGTCTGGGTGTGTCTACGAGGTTTGGAGTAGGACCCGCTCACGCTCATCTTCCGCGGTCGCATCTTGGCTGCTGGCGAGGACAAGGGCGTGGTGTTCTGCGACGAGATGGACGCGGCGGTAGAGCTGATGGAGGTCTCGGAGCCTCTGTTGCTAAGAGAGAAGACACTCGGCCGTCTCGTGGTTCGTCGGTTCTCCTCCTCGTCTAGGCGCAGGCCTTCGCCGAGCTCGGACAAGATATCTTGGACGGATCGTCGCTTGTCGCCCTGCTTGCCGAGCCGGGCCTCCCACCATCGACGACCGTATTCGGGCGGCGAATGTTCGGCAAGTGTGTTGAGTGCCATCTCTACCCTCTGCAACTTGTGTTCTTCGAGTCTGAGGGGAAAGTGCTCGGTGGCGAGCTCCAAGAGGGCGCCGGCATCTCGCACTTCTTTTCGCTTGCCTGCGTCCGACTCGTGCATGTCACATGCGTCGGCCTTGAAGACAAACAGGTCCTCGAGAGAGACATAAGGCAGCTGCTGCCTGACGTTGGCAACAAACTGGGCTGAGGTTGGAAAGTAGGAGCAAAGCCACTCGGGCGTTAGCTTGATTCCGACGGCCCAACCAGCCGGGTGCCGGTAGAATAGGGCTTGGGCTCTCTCGACTATCGATCCCTTCCCATGGCTCAGGAGAGTCTTCTTGACTTGGCTTGCCGATGCGGACAAGATGATGAATTCGATGCTCTAGCGCGCATGCGGTTAGCATTCCAGGCCTGCCTCCAAGTTGTTGTTCATTCGCCAACTCACCTCGCAAGGGCCCGGCTGCTGCAGGTATTTCTTGACGGCTAAATCGCCAGTAAGGGCAATCCGAACGTTGGCAAGTGCAGCCACACTCTGCATCAGGTGGACCACTGAGAACGCAGCTTGCTCCAACTCGGCGAGGGACGGCCGCATGTTGCCTGACGACGAGTGAGGCATGGCGAGAGGAAGATCACAGGACGGTGCGCCAGTAGTAAAGCAGCACGAGCACGCTGCCCGCACACAGCGGCATCTTGTATGGTTTTAAATCGAAGGACACACACAGACGGGACACACAGGACGGACACACAAGCTCAAACCTTAAAGCAGAGCTGCTCGGCTGCTAAAGCAGGCCGGCGTTTGATACCTGATCGCGCCCAACTGGGTAATTTCGGCACCCCAAGACAGGGGTCATGACCAATGGCGCGCAGGGATCGGCTGTGTAAATGACATTAGTCTTACCATATCTGTACCGCGAGGGAATATCGACTATGTACTTATTAGTAGAGCTGAACGTTGCCTAAGTTGCCCCTTTACGGCCCCCCCTGCAATAGAGCCTTCGTGATAACAGTCAGACGAATCCTCCAGGCGTAGATCGCACAGCAATTGATTTTTTATATGCGCCTACAAATAGACATCCCATGTAGATTGCCCGTGACAGTTTGCGACGGGCTGAACTACGATTGACGTATCGTCGCTCAGGGTCCTCCACCGGGCCCAGGGGCGTGGCTGGCTTGGGAAATGAACAGATCCACTGCGACCGGGACAAGCTGCCAACGTTGGACATTAAGCTCCCGACGGGCTTACAAAAACCACGCCGAGTCCGACTCCTGCCCGAGAGATAGCGAACGCTGTGTGCACCATCCCAACCAAACGAAATAACACGCTTCATGCACGGCTTGCGTGTAATTTGTGAGCAACCGTCAACCCTATCCCTCCTTCCACGCGCACCAAAATAAAACCTGTTTGGGACCGAACAAAAGCAGAGTCGCCATGTCTAAATGGTCTGTTTCAAGTAGCTATGCACGAGTAAGGCAGGAGAGCACGAGGCCTTCGCAGAACCCGACCGTTACGCTATCTACCAGAAGGGAGTGCAGGTAAGTCACTTATAGCAACAGTATAGCAACAGCCTTCTTGAGTCATGAATGTTAGGGGAACGCAGCCCGTTGCCGTTGGTGTGCAACGTTTCAATTGAAGCCTGTTGTCTATCAATGAGCAAACAAGCTTATCAATCCTTCAACGAACACCGCGGTCCCCTGGGCCGATCTGGTTGTCTGGGTCTAGGTCTGGGGTCTTTTGGTTCGAGTGCGACTTTATACGTCTCGGCCGCTTTGGGTTCGCGATGCACAGAGATCGACTCCAACGTAAGCAATTGACTCACCTGCTATAGCGAGCCTCGTCATCTTGGCAGCCATCGCACGAGCAAAATTGACATTTGCGTCTCATCGCACACACAATAGAGCGAGCAATGTGCACAATGACCGCTTGGCTACGCGTTGTGGTTCAGAACGCGTGGCTCGGTGGCGATCTCGTCGTCGGCGTCCTCCATGAGTTTGAAGAAGTAACCCGCTGTGCCCGCTCGCCCGCCCGTCTAGAATATGTTCTAGAATCTGGAGAATTGCGACGGCGACTGCGACGGCGTTGAGTGATCAGCGACGGACTGTGGGAGTTCGGACTACTGCAGGTGCGCTCCCTAGCGGTCGACCGCTCGAACACCATAGTGGCCGTTCGTCCCCCCTGTCTTGGCTAGCCTTCACTAAGACAACGGATCGTTGCGACGAGCAGCGCTGCGTGTCAATTACCTCTCGTCACACAAGGGGGCTGTTTATTTGTAACCATCAGTATGAAACCCAAACCCGGTCAAAAGGGATGGGAAGAACCTTCGTCTAGGGATATCGCGCGTGCTGGCTGCTCTCACTTTGTTTGTGAACGTCGCAGTGATAATCTACACATATGTCGTTTGTGGTGCGTTTGTGATCCAGATTCAGCTTACTATCACCGTCTCCCTGTTCGTAGATTACATACGGGAAGGGAAGCCAAGTGGACTGAGCTTAGGATGTTTCATGAATTTAGACTCATTTGGTTGACGGAGGCTAAAGGTAGTACAGTACTAATTGAAGCCTGCGATTCTGGGGTGCATATACTTACATCTATCTATACGATAGGAAGCCCGTCACCTCCACCAATCATTGAATTCGGCTCGGGACTCTCTGTTCGTTATCAAATACTCAACCTATGCATACGGCTATGTCTATCGCAAGATGTGACGTGACATGGATTACCAAAAGTCCAAGTGGGGGCGCGGCAGTTGTAGTTCGTGGTTCTCGCTAATCTGACCCGGCACAGTTCTCCGCTGTGACGAGCTCGAAGTGCTCGACTGCATTGCACAGGTTGAATATGCAGTTAGGTTAGCCGTATAGCATTTCTTCCATGTTGTGACATATTGACTGACATCATAGGTGCTGGGAACGAACTGTATACGAGATCGAGTTGCAAACGGGTAACATCGCCGTGGAGTAATCCCACCAACTAACTCCCACACCGACTGATATTATACGGATTAAGCGCCCTATTCGACCTAATCACAGTACGCCATGTCACCTTGCTCTTTCTCAATACGAGATATACCCATGAGACTTCATGCCGTTCATCCTTTGCGACAACCCATTGTTGTGGCAATTGGATTGCGATCATCGCGATTGGATCGTACGACATGGGAGCCCCCAGGCAAACTACCATGAAGCGGTATAGCAACAGGTATATATAACTGCTCTCATGAACCTCAAATGGTTCTAGAGTCCATCCTCTACGCCACGACCTTCACCAACGCCTGACTCTCCTCACTGTTCAACTCGGCTG